AGTGTTCGCACGTCTCGCGATACAACAAAATAGACACGCGCGTATTTAGTCTTGTAACTCGTACTGCATATCTCTCGAAAGCTCAAGTGTATCTTACACGTTATCGCCGTTAGACATTACTTCAACGCCTCTTTTCCCTCATTATCTCGATATAGAATGCATCTATCTTGATTCCAATTCGTAATTGTCATAGGTCAAGCAAACAAAGATAAAGCGGCTTGCACTATAAATCGAAAATCCACCGTAAATGTAAAGTATCGAATATCGATGTGGCGTCGCGACGTCGCGAGACTTCAATTTGTTGACCGCAAACTCAGCCGAACTATCATTTTCGGCGGAACGATTTATCGATTGATTAAACGACAAATTCGGCTCGCGTATCGCGATGATCTCAGTAATTATAGCCGATCCGAGGTAGGGTGTAGGAGTGGCGTGTGCAGTGCGTGTTTATATGCCGTGTAGTCTATATAATTAATACCATTGCCGTACCGTTTTTGTTTCCAGCTGTCGCATGTCCGCGCGTTGGCGGCCGGCGGCAATCACCTGCCGTTCCATGAGAAGTCCGAGGAGACTTTCCCTCGTGGTGGCTCGCCTACGCCTGTGACCCCGACGCCGACCACCGTGCAGCAACTACTGCGCCGTGCCCAGATACGTCGAAACGAAAGACGCACCCCGGATCCGCACGATGAGTCGGCGAAGAGACCGCGGGTACCGTCGCCGCCGCTCAACAACAACGACGCCACACCCACGGACTTCTCGATGGTCAAGAACAATCACCTGTCGACGAAGGTGGAGGGCAACGGGGTGCACGACGAGAATAGCCTCGTCGAGGAGAATATAAAGTGCGAGCCGTTGGAGTTGACCGGCGGTAACGGCGGCGGCAACGCCGGCAACGAGGACTCGTCGGATTCCGGCGCCGCGGCGTCGGACCGGCCGCCCGCGTCCGCGAGCAGCAACGAGCATGAGCCCGAACCAGAGCACACATCCGCGCAGAACTTCCTGCCGGAGAGCAAGCTCTTCACGTCGACGCCCGGCAGCTTCAACTTCAGTATGGCGGCGCTCACCACCGATCACACGCCGTTGTCAGGTACGTGAGAGACGCCAGATCTCCAAGGCGGGCCTGTACGCACAGACCAATTCGCGGCCCTTGGGCCGCGTTCAATTACCCTTTGACCCTTAAGTGCGCCTCAATTGCTCCATTTATATTAATCCTGGACTATCTTTTTTTTTTCTACCCAATCTGAGGTAGAAAACCTTGTGAAGAAGGGATCGAGTCTAGATTTTTTTTTGAAAAGTCCAATCACGCCTGTCGTATGTATGTATGTTTTATTCTTCTGCACTTAAGGGTTGATCGTACGCGATTGATCGTCGCTCCAGCGCACACGGTTTCTCCGTGATCGTTCGATCGCGGCATTTCTCACTATGTGCACGTTTGTAGAATTAAAAGTCACGATTCGAATCGAATGTTGACTACTGCCAACACGCCTGAGTTTGTTTCGTTTTGCCTTTTAAGAAAGATATATTCGGTTGTTTTCATTAGCTTGATTGGTAGACTTTTTTGTTTGAGCACCGTTTGAGCACGCATATCGTCCGTGCGACTGGAGTCCTCGACTCTTGGCGTAGCTTCCGCTTTCGCGCGGCCAAGTTTTGTCCGCACCACCACCTCTGCATCACTACGCGTTTTTTCTTTTTTAATTGCGAAATTGCGTACAGGCCATTGTTGAGTTCCTACGCGCGATAGCATTGCCGTTGCTACGTGTGACGATAGTGAAATTTCCAGGGTTGGGCCATGGCTTGCAGACGCCGGATCTAGCGGGTACTTCGCAAGGTAAGGAACTTGAATATTCTTTTTTAGCTCTCTGCCCTTTTGAAATCATTAGAATTGCTTGAGAAATCGAGGTAATCGATATGACACGCTCCCGCTATATATGTGGCACTCGTTATCACGCGCGCGACCGTAGAAACATGCGTTCAATGTGCGTTCTTTTGATTTTTTTAAGGGCACTCTGCGCTACTTTATTATTCTTCCACTGACAGTCGATACATCGCGACAAACCTCGATCGTACGCGATGTAGCGGTTCGCTCTAATAAAAGTAACTAAAAAGGACTTGTGCAGTTATATCAAACTAACCACAAATCACAAATTATAAGAATGAAAATGTTTACTGGTTGCGGTGAAAGAGCACTACTATCTGCTTGAAAGATTATTAAATCTTTTCTAATTGGCATGCGTTCCAAAATCATCGATATCATCATTACAATACGGCACCATTTACGAATCGCCTACATTTTGCATATCATAAAAAAAATCATATACTACGCGGAGCACGTGTGGCTCCACGGCCTTCGAGCGAGATACAGCCGAGCTCGGTAACCGTAATCTTACAGCCGAGTTCGAAAACAGAATAATTCGCGGAATTTCACTAATTTCTCCTTGTCGTATCTTTTTTGCAAAATTTAGCACACAGGCACGCTTGTCGATTGTAACTTACGCTCGATACTTAACCGATACGTCAATACGCTCAAATACATAAATATGAATTGCGATTGAATTCGTTATGACGTTTATCTAGATTCTGTATAAAAGATGAATTCGCGCGCTGGCACGTTTCACAAGTGTTTTATTACGTTATGTATCGGAAACATTATATACCACGTTGCGTTTGATATGTTAATATAAATATATCTATATACTTTGCAGATATCATATAAAAGTAATTACTTTTACTTGTAAATTTTGTACGTTCAATAAAAATGTAGATGTATAATATCGATATTTATTTATTTATGTTTCAAATCGATTCCCTTACTTCAAAAGTGACACACAATTAAAAAAATGTGATTTTCGAGTTATTATCATGAATGAGTTAGATAAATGTTATTCTATTAATCAGAAGTGAACTAATTTAACTTCATCAAAAAAACGTCAAATAGTACAACTCAAAAAAGTGATTTACAAAAAAAAATCGTCAAAATAATCACTATACAAAAAACGTTATTTTTTTTTAAGGTTTGTAAAACAGAATAAAAATGACATTTGTCTATATTAGAATATACGTGTTCTTTTCGTCGATACTATTTCATTAATAAATAATTTTTTATAAAATTGAAAAATAGTTTCTTTTTCTAAACTTAATTTCTTGTCATTTTTTTAAGTAAGGGAGCGATACGAGTGTAAGTGTATTTCGGGAGAAACATACGGAATTTAATAATATATTATTCAGATCGTTTCAAATAAAATATTTGTAATATAAGACCAAAAGTTATGATCATCTAAATATAGTAAAACACTTACATCAAGAATATATCAGTTATTACTTTTACTATCATTGACATATCTCGTATTCGTATTGTTGTTATTATTATAATAGAAGATTTTTGAATAGCTAATTTTTAATTGTGACTATAATCTTTGAGAGAAATACGTTTTCCAGATACATATCGAAACTATCATACTTGCTAAAAAGTTTTCCTACAAAGCAATCTTGACTTACATTGAACGAAGTATCTAAGCATCATACATGCTGTAAAAGAGTTAAGTTGCGTTCACTCACAATCAGAGAAATTTCTTTCCGAGACACCTTGTACGCCTGCTATTTTTTTTTTCGTTTTTTTTTCTGCAATCGAGGTAATTGAATGAAGAGCGTAGTTACGTGGGCAGAGCGACGCCTTTGAGCTAACGATAATTTTATCGACTCGCGCGAAAAATTCACACTGGCCGCAGCAGATACATTCGCTCCAACATCGAACCGCCGTTATTACCATCAGCACAATGATGTGTACACCAACGCAATTGGTGTAAAAAGAAATGGAATGAAATGTACCAGAGTTTGGCATCACTGTGCAATATTCGTGCCGCGCCCGCGAGATCGTCACCCCGGTTTATACGACACCCCGAGAGGGGTGCATCGTCGGGTCTAAAAGAAAGGGGATCAACGACGCACGACGACGCGCCTTCGGCGTTTGTATATACGTATCGCATCTGCCAGTTTCCCGATCAGGTGTTGAATGATCAGCGCCGATGCTTTGAGTGTCGTTGACATAAGTGTTGCTGATTTCTCGATAATCGATCGTTGAAGTGCTTGTATCGCTCGATTGAACGGATTGGGCTGCGTATCGATGTGTTGTTAACGTTGTCTGTCTTCCTCATGTTAACGTTTTGCAATATAAAATCAATATTTGCGGCATGATATCGTCGATACGATGCCGTGACGTTTATCATATTCGTAGGTACGATGAAGGAAAGAAAAGAGAGAAACAAAGGAATACAATATGACTGTGATCAATAATGCGTCGAAAATTATGTCTCGCAATTTTGATTTTCGATATTTTCCCTGATCTTTCGTATACATATATTGTAAAAGAGGATGTGATAGGTCTAATCATTTTCTTTTTTTTGTACTTGCAAAACGTACTCTTAACTATCCGGAGCTGACGTTAAATTTTATAACTTTGTTGATGCCAGATCTGTAAAGCCCCGATCTACATAGACACAAAACGCAGGTCGCAGGTGAAACGTATTTCAGATTGTAATAAGTCGCAGATCACAATATGTTAGAAAGTTGAAGTTCACTCAACTTCCTGCGTCTTGCATTCTATAATCTATTATAATTAAAATATACGTTAGATTAATTTCTAATTTTGACCTGTAACCCGCGTTCTCTGTCTTATATACATCGGGCTTAAGATCTATTTAATTTATATCGATTAAAAGATATTAATTAATTTGAAGGAATCAAAATAACTATATTGAGAAAATTTTCTGATTGAAAATGAACGGACCAGAAAATTCTAATCATAACACTCAGATTCTGGTTGTCTCAACTAAAATTATAGAATTGTAATAGATCAATCAGAAAATTTTAATTTGTCCATTTTTAGCCAGAGAGAATTCCAATAAATACAACCAGATTCTTTCCAGTGTATGAAAAAAATGTGTGTTTGTGCGCGCGTGTGTGTGTGTGTGTGTGAGTATGTGTGAATACTAAGTTTTTTAATAACAATGATTCGAAAAAAAGAATACAATATGATTGTGCTCGATAATGCGCCGAAAATTGTCTCGCAACTTTGATTTTCGGTATTTTCCCTGATTTTTCTATATATATATA